CAATAGAACTGAAATTCTATTTAGAATTGATCAGTTCAAAATATGCCTTAAACTATAATAGAATATAAGTAAACACGTATATGCCAAAGGCTAATATACATTGACATAAGTAGGAATAGGAAAAATCTTCTGTGACATGATATATGTGGTTAATCAAAATTTGAAATTAGTTAATTCATTTAGTCTTAAGTATTACTTTATTCCCCAAAGTCAGAGCACACCGTAAGTTAATGAGAGCATAATGATGTGTATATTTAAGTATCTTTCCAATGCTATGGCCTCTCTTCCTTAAAATACAAAAACTTGGTAACTTTTTTTTTTTTAAAGATTTTATATATTTATTCAAGTGAGACACACACAGAGAGAGAAAGGGGGGCAGAGACACAGGCAGAGGGAGAAGCAGGCTCCATGCAGGGAGCCCGACGTGGGACTCGATCCTGGGTCTCCAGGATCACACCCTGGGTTGAAGGCGATGCTAAACCGCTGAGCCACCCGGGCTGCCCAAAACTTGGTAACTTTTTAGAATCTCAATGACACTTTGAATTTCCTCCAGTTGAGACCAAAGTGTATTAATGAATTAAAAAAAAAAACTAGTTTCACCTTATTTTTCTGTATAATGAAATGCTTGGTAATAATTATCACATGAAGACGTGTGTGGAAGATCATAGAGATCTATCCAAAACTACTCTCAATAAAATAATAATTTGCTTTAATAGACAACACAGTGGACACTTCATTTTATGTTAAGATAACATAAACACATAATTTTCTAACTTCTAATTGTCATCTCGAAATACTCCTTTGACCAGAATTGACTACCTTTTGAAGAATTTGTAAAGGCAATTTTCAATCCAGATTGGGTTTAGACTAAATTGTATTTCATTTGAAATGAGTGGATATTCCTTATCTCTTAGAACAGGGTCAGCAGCCGATGTGCTACTTCATAATTGGTAGTTACCATATTGTATGGGGAGGGGAGATTTAAGGAAGTTCTGTTGGGGGCAAGGACCCTGGTAATAACAGGCCTTTCATAAATTGAAATCTTATCTGATATAACCAACCATTCTGGCTGAAAAAACTGGGGCCAGTTTTTCTTTTTCTTTTTTTGTATATTTGTTTATTGGAGTTTGATTTGCCAACATCTAGCATAATACCCAGTGCTCATCCCGTCAAGTGCCCCCCTCAGTGCCCATCACCCAGTCACCCCATCCCCTCACCCACCTCCCCTTCCACTATCCCTTGTTTGTTTTCATAGGAATTTTTTCATGATACTCTTGAATGCTTTATCATTGAAGAAATAGATGAATTTGAGAAAGAATTTGTTATGCAGTATAGAAAACAAATAGGTGCAAGCTTGGAAATATTACATAACGCAGTTTAGCTGTATTAATCAGTGTATTATTTATTATAATAAAATAGAAACAGTTGACATTGGTAGTGATTAGCTGTAATATGTAAAGAATGATTGCTATGTATCAACACTGTGCTATTCGTTCAGGATATGGAGGTGAGGAAAAAAAAAATCCTTGTCTTCATGGAGTTTAAAACCTAGCAGGGGAGAAATGAATTTCTATTAAAATACACTCCCTGAAACAACCCAAAATTTAAGATTACTTCTCAGAGCTGCTGCAATTTTGCTGAGGTCTAAAGATGGATGGGAATAGAAATAAGTAATAAGGAAAAGAAGGAATACAAAGATAGCTAGTTCCTAACACAAAATTTGTTAAGTGATACCATCCCATTCTGTGAACTACAGAATCCTTGTTTTTTTTTTTTGTGGGGGGGGGGGTATTAAATTAATCACTTATGGAAACTAATTGTAAGCACTAAATAATTATTCCCTTCCTTAAGAACTTGTTAATTCCCAATAAGGCTGGAATGATTTCAGGAATCTCTAATACTGCTCCATGTCATTTGATACTCTTTTTCAATTTAATTTTTGGTACTTCTTCCCAATTTATATATGGTATCTGCTAGAAAATGTTTAATAACTTTTTGTATGTTCAACTGCAGACAGATTCTTTAAATTTTATAATCAGAATAACTTTATTGGAATCCATTCTATTACTAGTAATTCCTAACTGAAGAATGAGTCCTGTTCCAAAATATATGAGGTTTGGTGATTTTTAACTCCAAAATGAATTTCAGCCTAGAAACAATGTTATTTTTGAATCCCAAACTATGCAGAAGTTACTTCATCCCACAGTGAAGCTGATACTATTTCAGGGTAAAATTAGTAGGAAGTTTTGAATGCGAATTTCTTCTTGCCTTTTATTTCTTCTCTGCTGTCAAGGCTGATACCATTTCCAGTAACTGAGTTAACATGAATGTGGGAATAATGTATTATTCTTTCTTCAAATACTGTTTTACTTCAAAGAAATAACTGTAAAATGGGATAAATAATTGAGATCAAGGCTAACGGGGGATGTGGATTTTCCCAATTCCTACCAATTTTTTAAAAAATATTTTATTTATTTATTTATGAGAGAGACAGAGGCAGAGGCAGAGGGAGAAGCAGGCTCCCTGTGAGGAGCCTGATACAGGACTCCATCCCAGGACCCCAGGATCACACCCTGACCCAAAGGCAGATTCTCAACCACTGAGCCACCCAGGCATCCTTTCTACCAATTTTCTATTTCAAAGTTTTGTCTCAGTTTGGCCCAGCTCTCTTGCATGTCCTTTTCAAAGCTTGGATATGAAGGCTGTCCCCCGCACACATCAAATAACCCACCGCCAAGAAAGGGATGGTTTTTAGTCTCAGCCAGTTCTCTCTCCTGTGCTAGAAATTCTGTCTGGCAGGGTGAAAAGGGAAAATGAGACGGGGCTACCGGTCCATCTTCTCTGTATGCAGCCCAATGAAAGATTCAGGCAGAGATCTTCCCTCGGAGTTCACTTATTAGGAACTACTTTGCTCTGCTTGTCAAATACCTAGCTAAGAACTGTGAAAGAGAAACCATTGTATTTAAGAAGGGTGAGGTGATGGGCAGCCCGGGGGGCTCAGCTGGTTTAGCGCCGTCGTTGGTGGGTGTGATCCTGAAGACTTGGGGTCGAGTCCTGCGTGGGGCTCCCTGCATGGAGCCTGCTTCTCCCTCTGCCTGTGTCTCTGCCTCTTTCTGTGTATTTCTCATGAATAAATAAATAAAATCTTAAAAAAAAAAAAAAAGGTGAGGTGCTTCAGGGGAAAGAGGGATCTAGTGGGGGGGGGGGTTATTGGTGAAACCAGGCATGGACGTAGGAGAACCAGGAAACAGAAGAGGAGATTAATTTCATGTCATGTCTGGCAACTTTTTACCACCCCTGTGTGGGTGATTACAGTCAGAGGGGACACTAAAGTCATTTGCTCTGTAAACCTGTATCTGATACGGTTAGGTGCTGAAAAGTACTACAACATCCAAGGTACTGTAAGTTTGGTTTCACAATGTGACTTACGGGATTTATAGAGTGATCTGAACTGTGCAGTCTGGTGGTGGAGATGGTATGAATGTCTCAGAGTTAATTTGTACCTAATAGCTGGATATTACATGCTTTCTCTCTAAGCAGTTATTACGGGCTCTCTGTGCAATAATGCTTTCACCCCACCCACCACCCTGTGGAGGTAAATATTCATCCTGTTTGCCGGTGAGGAAAGTGAAGCTTAGAAAGAGGATCAGTAACTTCCCCAAGGCTACACAGCTAGTGACAGATTTGAAATTAAGTCTGACTCCAAAGCTATTATTAAGCTTTACAGTCAGGTGTCTCAAATGGAACACTAAACCATATATATATATATATATATATATATATATATATATACACATATATATAAAATTTCTTTTTTTTTTTTTTTTTAAACAACAGAGTCCCGCCCCCCTCCCTACTCATTTGGGTACCTGTTTCGACTCTCACAGAAAATCTGGGTCGTAGCTGTGGCTTTGACCTGTAGGCTTGAAGGTGCCTCGGGAGTTCAATGAACCCCCGCCGGCCGGTCGCGGGATGGGAGGGCTGGACCATGGGACCTCACCTTAGCCCTTTCTGATGGTCAGCTCCTACGATCTCTATTCTTTGTGGGGGTTCAGTCTTCGATCCTAGCTCACGTACTCCCTGTCCTAAACGGAGCGCCTCCTGTTTGGGGCCAGAGCGCGTAACGCCGTCATCCCTGGTGACCCACCACACCCCCTCTCCGTGAGCTGACCGCGTGGGTGATAACCCGAACCGCTCATTGCGTTCCTTGTATATACCCGGACGGACACCTCGTACTCTGCGGAGGAGGCTCACGACAGCCCTCCACACGGCGGATTGGATGGTGCCCCTCTGGGAGAGAAGCCAAGGCTCAGGGAGTTTGGACTTAACCCCAGGTCAAGCCGGGGAGGCGTTGGAGGCGGAGTTCCCGCGCTCGCGCCGGGGCGGCGCAGCCCTCACTTGCGCCTGGGACATTAACGAAACTGTACACGCCAATTCTGCTTTAGGCTTAAAGATCCTGGGCGCTAAACACAGCGTTCCAGACTCGCGCCTGTTTTCGGATTTCCCATCTGCTTGCTTTCTCCCCGTTTTACCGACCGAAGGGGAAGGCGAGCGACAGGAGGTTACGGTCTTGACGTTAAGCGCCCCCTTTCAAAAGGGCGTCGGTCGACGGCGAAGCGCGGTAGAGGCTGGGGCTCTCTCTCGGCTTTGTGCCTCCGCGGGCACCCGCGGGGATCCCAGGACCTCCCTCCGCGTCGTCCTTTCCCGGAACTCGCCTTCTGCCGCTGAACTACGCTTCCCGGCGTGCCGCGCGGCCGAGAGCGCGGGCTCGAGCGGCCCTCCCTTCGCCTTGGCCCAGCCCGCGGTCGCGGCGCGATGATGCGAGCGCGTCGGGCGCCGACGAGTGACGGCGTTCTGGCTCGCGACCGCGGCGGCGGCCTTAGCAGCGGCAATAGGCGCAATAGCGGCGGCGACTGCAGGGACGACGACGACGGCGGGGCGGGCGCTGTGCGCAGAGGGGAGGGGTAGGCGGGCGGCGCCGGCGGCTTCAACTGCGGCAGCCACGGCTGGGGCGACGGAAGGATCCCCATCAGCCGGCGGTCGGGGTAGGCCTCAGCGGCGCCTGGAGCGGCTCGCCGTGTCCTCCGCGGGGGATCTCCATAGAGACCGTGACATACACAGAGGCGGGGGGCCGCGGGAGGCTGCCGGGCCGGAGCCAGCTCCTCGGCCTCTGCCGCCGCCACCGCCTTCCCCGCCGCCAGCGCGCATTTTCTCTCCACTCCTGCCCGACACCTCGCGGCTCCCGGCGTGCCTGGGCTCCACTGTGTGGGCAGCGAAGGCGGACTTGCGGGCCGGGGCCGGGCGGGGGGGGCTCTAAGGCCGCCACCTCTGCCTCTCCCGCCCCCCTCACCCGCCCCGAAGCGGGAAGCCGCGGAGGCCCCGCCATGGCCTCGGGAGCCGGAGGAATCGGAGGGGGCGGTGGCGGCAAGATCCGGACGCGGCGCTGCCACCAGGGGCCGGTTAAGCCTTACCAGCAGGGGCGACAGCAGCACCAGGTAGGGGACCCCGCGGCGGCGGCGGCGGCGGCGGCGGCTGCTGCGTGTCGGCGGGTCGGGAACGCGCGCCCAGGGGCCCGGGCGCCCCACGTGGAGCGGACGGTAGGGCCGGAGGGCAGGCCCGATCGGGCCGCCGGGGTGGCGACGGGAAGTGGGCCGAGACGGGCCCGTCCTTGCGGCTCGCACGTGTGGTTCGGGCCTCCACCCCCCCCCTCCGCCCGCCCGCCCGCCCGCCCCGCCTTCTGGGCCAGGGGCTTTCCCCCGCACGGGCGTAGGGCGGGAACAGAAATTCTAGGCCTACGATGCGCGCATTTCTTTCGTTTTTGGCGGGGATTGGGGGTTTGAGGGTATTACTCACGTCCTCTCGAAGGAGAAAGGAAAAAGAGGTGGCTGGAGGCCCGCCCGTGCGCCTGCCGCTTGCTGGTCTCCCGCGGTTCCGTGGGTGCGGGGAGGGGGCTGTCCCAGGCAGGCCGCTTCCGAGCCCCCGGGCGAGGATGGGGCGCTCTCACGCCGCAAGTGGAAGAACTTTGTTTTCTTCGTTCTCAATTCCTCGTCCCCCCTGCGGGTGCCCCCTCGTTGGATCTGAGAGCGGCCGCTTGGATCTCCCCCGCCCCCCGTAACCGGGTTAGAGTTACCTAGGCCCTGGGCCATTTTGAAAGTCCCTCTTCACCCTTACGTCTTTTCTCCGCTGCGAGACTCTTCCCTCCCCTCCTCTACCCTCCCCCTCCCCCCCCCCCATTTTATTCTGGAGGCTGGAATTGGCTATTATGCACAGTTGACCGGGACTCCAGTCCTGATCTCATGCACGAAATATTTTACTATTACGGGGCGTATTCTAGAAGCTTAAGTACACTTTTGACACCCAGGAAGGTTGGTGGTCTTCTGATTCACCACCGTGTTGCACTCGTGGGTGTTTGAAATTTTGAAGAGGAGTTTATCCTCGTTGTAAAGGAGACAATCCATTTTGAGAAAAAATGATTTTTTTTTTAAAACCTGTTTGTTATGGGAACCGAATAGAAAACTGTTAAAAATTTATTTTAGTAAGATTCGCTTTCGAAACTTCTCAGTGATCAGGTGCGGGTAGGTACGTGCGTGTCTTAAACTTGTGGGGGGGAAAAAAAACCCACAGAAGTATAGCAAAAGGGTCTGATAACTTGTTGCGTCCTGTTAAAAGTAGGATTCCTGGATTGCTTTATTCCGGATGATGATGGTTTTTTGAATAACATGTTTGGTGATGGTGTTAAGTTGTATCATTAAAAAACAAAGCTTTTAAAGTAAAAATTCGGGAGAAATTTTTAACAGTGAAAATGGTGGTTTGCAATATTGAATAGCTCTCTACAAATGGGTAGAAGTCTTAACATTACTCATACCTCCCACTAGTTTTTCCCCAGATATATACAGAAAGGGGTTGGTTTTCAGATTTCTTTGGGAGGATCCAGGGGTACTTGCAGGCAAATTTAAGATTAGAATTCAGATCACATGATTGGCCATTTAACCAAATCCTTTTGTAGAATGGAAGTTAGACACACATGCTTTATGTATCTCCTGAAGAATAAATGTCTGAGTGCTTTCTTAGATCTTAAAAGAAAGTTACTGTATAAAAAAATGAAATGTTTTAAGTACATATATTGAACAATCTGGGCAGGATTTAGAAAGGAGCTAATATATTCCAGGTGGCAGGAGTTAAAATCACAGCTTATTTTCAAATGTACTTAAATAAAAATCTAGTTTTGGGGAGATGATGCCCTAACAATATCATACCTATGATCTAGGTTTTCTTAGAGCTGACATGATTTTAGGCTGTTTAGTTTTATTTTAGAGCTTGATAATTTATTATTTCCCCCTTTCTAAAATACTTTCAGCTTCTTGTCCTAGCCATTTAACTGAAAAAGAAAGTGCATCTTAGTTTTTTGGATTGTGATTAAAGATGTTTGGGGGTTTCTTTATCAACACTGCGAGTGTTACTTAATATTGGCAGACTCTACCAAAGGAAAGTATCCACGAGTATACCGAAAAAATGCTCAATATTTAAAAATCTTAAAAGAGAAACTGTCTTTAGTTCTTGCTGGGACTTTTGTGGACTTGTAGACCACCTGCTTGCTGTCTCCTGTCTTACGCTGTCACCTCTATGTTTTGCCTCAGCTGCTGAGTCATCATGAATAGCAAGGAGCTTCATGACATGGCATGTTTTGTACTAATGTTATTAAATTAACTGTCCAAGGGTTTCTGGGCAAAAACAAAGTTTTCGGTTGTGTAGTAGAGGGTTGGAATAGGAATGAGAGGTTTGGCACTGTTAGTTCATGGAGGTTTGCCATTGCGTGTCAGGCCAATTAGCTTGTGCAGTCATGCAGTACCTGCAACTTTTGCATGTGTTCTACTGACTTGTAATTTCCTGTTTTGACTTCTGGTTTAGCTCTGCTGAGATACAGCTAAAGATTACATTTTTTCCCCTTTAACTTCTGATCTTTAAAATGCCATCTTGCTTGAAGTTTGAAGACAGAAATCCATTGTCTTACTCAACTAACTGAAGGGTAGTAACTTAAAGAATTGTAGAAGCAAAAATGAAGAACAGCCCTGAATAATGTAAGAATAATGTAAGTCAAACATTTTCACTTGCCTCCTACCCCTTATCTCAGCCCAGATGCATTTAGGAAACGGTATCATTTTTCTAGTTGGGAGTGAACAGGTCCCTAAAAAAAGGTGCTAGTTTTCTGTCACCCCTTCAGTTTCCCTTCCCACTTGTGCAGATTGTCAGGCCCAGGAATTCAGCCCTGGAGAGATCAAGCTTTTCTTAATAGCCACCACCAAAAAACTTGAACCCATGGGCAAACCAGAACCTTGCTTCTGGAAGAGTCTACTGCCACCTCCTGGTGAGAGGGAATTAATTATTTTTGCCCTTTTTGGGGGGTTTTGTTTCCAGAGGTTTTTGTCTTCTGTTTTGGAGCTGAGGGAATCCACTCATTTTCTCTGCCTGGATGTAGTTTGTCTTACAACAAGGGTGGTGTTTGCATTTAGCTCTTCTAGAAAAAAGAGGGAACCCCTTTACTAAGTAGCTTAGATAGAAGTCTGCAGACTTTTTTGTAAAGGGCCAGATAGTAAATATTTTAGGCTTTGTTGCCGCAGGCTCTTTGTTTTGTTTTTACAACCCTTTAAAAAATGTAAAAATCATTCTTAGCCTGAGGCCTGCATGAAAACAGGCTGAGGGCTGAATTTGGCCCACACAGGCTATGGTTTGCCTAACCCTGGTATATATGACAGTTTAGGATTTTTTTTTTTCTTTTGCTTATTAGTTCCTATATGATAATTTTCCCCAAGTGTGTCCCACTTGGGATCTGATGGTGAAAAAGTATTCTCAGTTATGAAAAGGAAGAATATTTAGACATGGAATACGTAGTCATTCCAGAAGTCATTAAGTAGTTTTGACTTTTATCTTTCTTTGCTTTATTGTAGATGTTAAATACTGTCCGTGTAAACAGAACTGGAAATAGGTGATAGGGAAAAAATGTACTGTAATGGAGTTACAGCATCTGGGTTTGAACCTTGTTCTGCCAGGACTTGGAGAAGTTTTTTAAATTCTCTTTGCTTAATTTATTCGTCTCTAAAATGGAAATTGTTTTGAGGCATAAATGAGATGAGTAAATCTCTTATAACAGGACCTGGCATATATATATAGTTAGTAAGGACTCATTTGAAATTGTTGCCATTAAATACCACCTTTTGATTTACATGTTTGTCTCTGAATTTTGCTGCCTTTAGTAGAAGTTTTTTTCCCTTTATGTATAGGCCTATATTGGATTTAGGGACTTGTTTACCAGGTGATGAGGCTGGACTTAAAACTCTACCTCTCAAATACTTATTTTCGAACACATTGTCTTCATAGAAATGTCAGTCATTTAGTGTATAGAGGAGAATAAATCCAAGTATTAAGTTGTTTAATAGATTTTTTTTAAATTTTTATTTATTTATTTATGATAGTCACACAGAGAGAGAAAGAGAGAGGCAGAGACACAGGCAGAGGGAGAGGCAGGCTCCATGCACCGGGAGCCCGACGTGGGATTCGATCCCGGGTCTCCAGGATCGCGCCCTGGGCCAAAGGCAGGCGCCAAACCGCTGCGCCACCCAGGGATCCCATGTTTAACAGATTTTTTGTTTGTGATGGAAGAGCCTTGTGTGTGGTATTTTATCGATTCTCTTACCAATTTTTTTAAAGATTTTATTTATTTTTGAGAGAGTGTGAGCATGTGCATGCAGGCGGGTGAGTGAGCATGGAGGGGGGAGGGGCAGAGGGAGAAGCGGACTCCCCGCTGAACAGGAAACCCGACTTGGGGCTTCATCCCAGGACCCTGAGATCATGACCTGAGCCAAAGGCAGACGCTTAATGGACTGAGTCACCTGGGCGCCCACTTACAAATGTTTTTAATAAAATAAATGACAATAAACCCCAGGGATTGTCCCCATATCCCAGAAAGTCCTCTGATGAGGCTGGTATATATTAGTTTGAAGTAAAATGAAGACTTTGGTCCGAGGTCACTAATTAAAACCATTTTCTTTAGGCACAGAATATTATTAGGAAGATGTAATGACCTTGTGTTTTTAGAAATGTTTTATTTGTAGCTACTTAGCCTTGTGGTCCTGGTTGTAATGTATTTTTAATATTCTTCTGTGTTGTGTAGCGTGATTTTAAGTCTTGCCGCAAGATACAGTTTACTCTGTTTACTATCAGAAAGAGGATGGTAGAGTGCCTTTTTTTGTCTATAAATGTTTCAGTTTGCTTGATTTTGCTGATCTTCTTTGTACTGTGATTAAAAAAAACTCTTAAATCCTGTTTTCAAATAGATTAAGAAAAATGACAATAATCTTGTAGGTTACACTTAGTGACTTAAACTGCTTTGGTCTCTATTGGATTTCCTACGGCTAGTTTGAAAGGATTTAAGGATTCCATTTTTTTGTCTTTGTTTGATTACTGTTAATCATCTATTAATACCACCTCTTTGATATTG